TACTAGTGCATGAAACAGTCATCGGGTGTTACGCTTCCGCGTGACGTCATGCGCCAACAGCCAGCGCAGCCGGCAAAACGAGTAGTTGACAGCGATCGCTCTCTGTGCCTGTTAATCGACCGCCATTCATTGTACACAATTTTTTTTGTGCACAAACCAATAGCGGTCCTGGCCAATCCAGCAAGGTTGTCAAGTTAGCGGTTATTCCTCCTGTTTTCACTGCAATTGTAGGCTGAATCTTCATCGTGGATCGTTTTTTACTTCAAGGACCTGTGTAATGGTTATTCCAGGCAAGTTTGGGGTGAGTTGCAGTTGCAATTAGTGTGTAACGGGGACAAAATTGAACATTTTCCAAATTTTTATTGCAAATACTACAAGTTTTGAGAAAAATGCGCTCCAGCCCTAATAGACAACCCAATGATAAAACTCAGGGCTGGGTAACTCCAGCTAGGCTCTAAAGTAGAATTGATTAACATGTTTTCATTGAGTGAATATTAATATGTTAAGGTTGTTGAATTTTTTTTTTATATACATGTAGGATGTTTGTAGAGACGACAAATAACTAAAGTGATAAGACTTGATATAGAAAACAAATCCCGGAAGTTCTTTAAAATAGCTATGAAAATGGGGACAATATAAGCCACTTTACTTTATCACATTGTGTATATGTAGAGGCATACTTTCGCGAACGAAATATGATCGAATAAAAGATAGATATACAGAGTGACCCCAAAAAACTGCAACCCTAAAACATTTGGCTTAAAAAAAAGGATCGGTAGATTTTGATGTTTGGGTATCAGAATAAACCTGAGAGCTTTTTTTTTCAAATACTTAAAAATCATGACAAATAGCACTTAAGGTTGCGGAGAAGATGCCAATTATTTAAAGTAGTAATTTTTCATCCTTCACACAAAAATTACCACAGCAAGAGAATTTCATTTTACCTTCCACTTTCCATTTTCCACCTGAACAGGTATCTCATCCTTTTTAGTTTTACTTTAAACCTTTTCAGCATCATGAATGACCAGTTTGTTGTCTCGTGTTTTTTTTTAACCACTAGCAAGGCTGCACTGGTTGACTGGCGAGATAAATGCACTGCTTCTAGCTCGTTGTATCGTATCACTGGTGTAAAATATTGTGCTCACTTCACTATTTGGAAACAAAATACAACTTTTTATTTAAAAAGATATGCCTGAATGTTTATGGAGAGTTCACTTAAAAGTGGTATTCTGATCAGATCTCGTTTTTACTTTGGAAATTTAATGTGAATCAATATTAGTGTTTTTGCCCTTCACCGAGGTTAATTGGCCTTTCTTTTGTTTGTAAACATTGACGCCATTTAATATGAACTGCCGCAAGCGCATAAGTTGAAGCCGGGGTTGGCATCTATTTTTCCATTGTTTTTCCAGAAAAAACGTCCTCATAACGCCTTTAATGTATACTCAAAAGCAGTGGCGTCACCAGACTTTTCAGTCTGGGGGGGCACAGGGGGGGGGGGGGCACCAGCATTTGATTGGGGGGGGGGGGCACTTAGGTGGATACGGATCGCCGTCCTGGGGGAGGGGTCTAAGGGGAGGGGGTGAAAATTTTCGCATACGGAGGATGGGCTAGATGCAAAATGGTGCCACATTTGATGCTAAATTCGATCTGAAGATATCTCCAGAAATTGCTATTTAACCAACTCAGATGATGGGAGTTGAATATAACAAAATATATATATATTTTTTTACCAACCCAAATCTCAGATGGGGGGGCACTCGGGGGGGCACTAGGTTTTCCAGGGGGGGGGGGGGGGGGGCACGTGCCCCCCCCCCCCCCCCCCCCCCCCCCCCCCCCCCCCCCCCCCCCCCCCCCCCCCCCCCTTGGCGACGCCACTGCTCAAAAGGCATGTGTAGAAATTATGTTGCAGGTTTGTTGACGATGTTGTATTTCCAAGTATCAAATAATATTTTGGTTATCTGTATAAGTCTTCTTCATTTTTGCAGTTTTGGACCTTCCATAGTTTTGCAACCCCTGGTTGGCAAAAGATGCAGTTTGCCAACCAAGCGTAGAAAGGCCATACAAGTGGCAATGAATAGGGCCCTCATGAGCTAGCCGAGCACAACTGGTACATGTAAAAAGATGAAAGCAACTTATAAACACAAGAATTGCTATAATGGTGACCAATAGGTAACTCGTACCAGCGAAGGTGCCTATAGGCCTATAATTGTGAACAACTTTACCTAGGAGGGCGGTATCTCCTTTATGTCTTTTGATCGTCCATTGTTCTCATGGTTAGTGACAGGTGTAACATAGGATAGTCGGTGAAAAAGGACACGAGGTTTGCTTGTCTACTTATATTTACTATAGTTATCACATAACAATTTTTCTATAATTTTAACAAGATACCCTGCAACCATGGTGTAGTGACATAATCTGATACTCGACAGGCAACGGATTCAGGTTGGCTTTAATCGCACAATTACCTTTACAGGTTTGCTCACCACAGAGCGTGCTGGTCACCCACAGTACCATTTTAACGAAATTTGTCATATCACCACAGTTTGAGGATCGTACGTGTTATTGTCTGCATTTGAACTCGCAAAAGGCTATCTTGTTTTCACGGACAAAAATCATTCAAAGTAAGATTTAAAGGGCTCATGCAATGTCATTTTGTTTTAATGCAATCCTTGAAATGCACCTTTTTTGTCCCATATAACCTTATTTTCAATTTTCGTTTTGCCATTTTAAGGGTATTTTGTGCCTTCTTGGTATTAATGCTAATGACAATTTCCATATTCATTAGCAAAAGTGTGATGTCAAATCAGGCAATACATCTCTATGTTTCAGCTATTTCAGCACAAAAAAGTTTACAGAATGCTGGATATCTTGCTGTTGTAAATGTTATTTTCTGCGGTGATCATGGCAGTAATTTTAGTGATATTGTTTGGTTCACATTTGAACAAAAAACCTAAACTGAATAGTGTCTTTCTGAAATGACATCACAGCAATATCTACGGAGCTCTGCAAGTGCCATCCGACTTCATCAGATACTGACTTATTTTATCTCAGGATGACGACATAATACAGGCAAGAAGACGACATCCTGAGATGATTTATTAGGGGATGGCGACATCCTGAAAGTAGGATGACGACATCTAGAGATAATTTATTATTGGACGACGACATCCTGAAAATAGGATGACGACATCCTGAGATAAATTATTAGGGGATGACGACATCCTAAAATGAGGAAGACGACATCCTGAGATAGTTTATCAGGGGATGACGACATCCTGAAAATAGGATGACGCCATCCTGATATAATTTATTATGGCATGACGACATCCTGAAAGTAGGATGACGACATCCTGAGATAATTTGTTATGGGATGACGACATTCTGAAAGTAGGATGACGACATCCTGAGATAATTTGTTATGGGATGACGACATTCTGAAAGTAGGATGACGACATCCTGAGATAATTTGTTATGGGATGACGCTAAACTGGAAGCAGGATGACGACATCACGACATAATTTATCACGAGGTGCATTGAAGCCATCTTGAAAACGCACAGGTGGACATGCGGCTTGTATAACATTTATCATATCGCTGTATATTCATGGTATTTATTTGATGATGAGAGGTCATGTGCGCTTCCAAGATGGATTCAATGCACCTCGTGATATCTCAGGATGTCCTCATCCTACTTTCAGGATGTCGTCACATCCTAATAAATTATCTCGGGATGTCGTCATCCTATTTTCAGGATGTCGTCATCCTATTTTCAGGATGTCGTCATCCCCTAATAAACTATCTCAGGATGTCATCGTGCCAGAAGAGATTGTCTTAAGATGTCGTCATCCTATTTTCAGGATGTCGTCATGCCATATTAAATTATGACGAGATGTCGTCATCCTACTTTGAGGATGTCGTCATCCCCTAACAAATTATCTCAGGATGTCGTCATCTTGCCTGTATTTTGTCGTAATCCTGAGATAAAATAAGTCAGTATATGAACAAGTCAGATGCCACTTCCAGAGCTCCGTAAATATCACCCCCAAATGTCCGGAAAAGCATGGCACATTCTTAAATGTTTAAAGAAGTGCACCTCTGAATTAAATTAACCAACAAGATGCATGGTTCTCGAACCATGCGTCTCGCCTGCTTTTACGATTATCTTTATAAAGTGACTTATCAGTATGAAGGTTGCAATGAGTTTGGTTCCAGCCTATTTTACAACTTGACCTCAGATGACATTTGACCTTGGTATGTGACCTTTGACATCATTATCATATGAAGGTTGGCATGTTGCATAAACTACCCAAGTTTGGTTCCTCTTGGTCTTCAATTTGTCATCAATGAGACCCATTTTACATATTCAGCCTATTTTACAACTTGACCTCAGTTGACCTTTGACCTTGGTATGTGACCTTTGACATCATTATCATATGCAGGTTTCCATGTTGCATCTATGATTCCAGTATGGTTTCAGTTGGACTTCAACTGTGGAAATAAGGCCAATGTTACGAAACTTTAACCAAAATACCACAGATATACACACAAATTCATACTACATACATACAAACATACATACTACATTTATACGGAAAGACAAAGTGATTGCATAGTCTCTTTCAAAGTTCAGGCGAAACAAAAAGGGATGTCAAATAGTTTTCACATATTTAAGAGGAGTGGAAAGTGACAAAAATGTGTTCCTAAGAAAAAACTAATCTCATGGACCCTTTGATAAGCTTTTTTTGTGTGGTGTGGAAGATCTGAAATGGGAATGTTATTAACAATGAAAAGAAAATGCAAACAAAAATAAGTTATTCGGGGAAGTGTCGTTTCTGTAAAGAACCAATTTAGTTTTATGAAATACGGACTATTGGTGATATTGCGCATGCTTATGCATAGATAATTAGGAGAGGGACCGGTCACGTGAGAGGGTTTTGTAAAAGATGGCACTTAAAAGTTCCAGTGAACTTGACTTAATGACGAATGACTAGTACACAATCATGTATCAGCAACAGTATACTCGCATCTTTAATCACGTAGACACGAAACATGAAGCATGAAGCACGTAACACGTAACACGGTTTAATCTACATAAACAAAACAAAGAATAACAAATACAAATCAGGATTGATACACAAAAACAATATTACAAATGTCCAGTTAGTGGTAAATTAGCTGTAGACATGTGCGAATCCCATGTAATGTTGTATATTAAAGTCTATATGCACTTATTTTTACATGACACTTTTACACAAAGTTTCCCCAATAAATTAACCCAGAAATATTACTTTTATCCCACAAATATCTAGATGGCCATGTTCTATATATGTCTTACAATCATATAAGGATTTAGAAATTATTAAACTAACGACTTTGGGCTGTCCAAAACAACAAATTGCGTGACGAAAAGTGACGTTGACATGAAAAGTTTGACGTTATCTAAACGTTTTAACCCAACTGACTTGTTTCAGGGTGGTGTGCAATAGCGCCCTCTCTTGACGAAGAATACAGATACACAAAAAGTTAACCTAATTAGCATATTACACAAACGAAACATTCTGACCCAACATCCCGACCCCTTAAATGTCACAACCAACCCCAAAATGGCATTTACCTAAATCATACAAAAAATAAGGGAGAATGTGAGTGCCCCTTTAAGTTGACTTCCACTGGTGGTTTAGGGTTTTCAATTATACATCATAACACAAGTTATACACACACAAAAGAAAAGCTTCTGGATCTAATCATATGAATCATCAGCTATTTGTACTACACACTCTAACCTTTGGAACTACATGTACTGGAAAACACAATATAAAACAAACAAAAACACTTGTAGAGGCCAACAACCAATTTATGTTTCAGATCTTTCTACTGTTTCCAGAAGACAAAGTTTCTGGACTGGTCTCATCAAGGTAGATGACATTGTCTTCACCTTGGCTGATCTGACTAGCTGGTCCCCTCCCTGATGTGTTTCAACAACTCGTCCTAGAAGCCATTTACTTCTTGGCAAGTCACTATCAACGACAAGCACCAAGTCTCCAACCTGGATATTCCTCTTTGGCTCAAACCATTTCTGTCTTTCTTGCAGCATAGGAAGGTACTCCCGAATCCATCTTCTCCAAAAAAGATAGGCCAATTATTGTACCTGCCTCCATCTCCTCTTTCCATACATATCTTTTTTGTCGAATACCCCAGGTGGCAGGACATGCCCTGCACGAAGCAGAAGTAAGTGATTGGGAGTTAGCGGCTCTAGGTCATTCACATCATCTGACACTGTAGTTATCGGCCTTCCAATGATAGACTCAACCAGACACATAAGTGTAGACAAACTCTCGTCGTACATGGTTTGCTCTTTCATGAGAGAATTCATCAGCTTTCGCGTGGTCCTAATCTGCCTTTTCCAGACTCCGCCCATATGCGATGCCGTAGGGGGATTAAATTTTCACTTCACCCCTTTCTGAAGGAGGAACTCATTGACCTTCTGCTGATCTAGGGACTGTGTAGCTTCTCTAAGCTCTCTCTCGGCGCCCACAAAGTTGGACCAGTTATCGGACCTGATCTCTTCCGGCTCTCCACGTCGACACATGAACCGTTGTAACGTGTTGATGAAAGAATCCGCTTCCATGGTATGTAGGACTTCAATATGAACGGCTCGAACAACTAGACAGGTAAAGATACACCCATAGCGTTTGACCAAGCTTCGACCTGGTTTAACCATGAACGGACCAAAACAATCCACTCCAACAAAACTGAATGGTGGCTTGTTTGGCGTGACCCTGTCAGATGGCAGATCTGCCATCTTTTGCTCGACTGGTGTGGCTGATTGACGTCTACACCCAAAACAATCACGCAAAATACTGCGGACTGTAGACCTGGCCTTGATCAACCAATATCTTTGACGCAATAGGGAAAGTACGTGCTCTCTTCCAGAGTGTCCCGATTCTTGATGGAATTGTCTGACAATCAGAGTGACTACATGGTGATCTTTAGGCAACACGGCCGGACGTTTCACTCCCTCGTCTACTGGAGCGTTCTTCAGACGACCACCAATCCTTATGATACCATCAGCGGACAACACTGGGTCAAGCTTGTATAAAGGACTTGTCTTCTTGATGTAGTCCTTTGACCTTCTGGAGTCTACCTTGTCCTTCTGGAGGAACTTCAACTCTTCACAAAAGGACTCTCTCTGGATATACAAAATGATAGCATCCTCTGCTCTCGTCATCTCATCTACGGCCAGTAGCTTCTGCATGTCTACTGTCGGTTGCTTCCTTGCCTTGGCTCGCAAGTAGTTTTTTACCTGCAGCAACCACGCCACATTCTTCTTCAATCTATGCCATGAGGAATGCCTCTTCAACAACCTGTCTACCACATCGACCTGTTCCATCTTGTTTACAGCACATACAGTAACCACCTCCTTGTCTGGCTTTATCTCTGGATCTTCATCTGGTAGATCTCTCAGGCTTGGCGATTTTGGCCATTCACTATCTTCCAGGCAAAGGAAGTCGGGTCCATAGAGCCATCGCTTGTTAGTAAGCAGCTCCTCAGCTGTTTGTCCTCTTGAAACATCATCGGCTGGATTAAGCCTAGACACAACATGATGCCATTGACTGGGTGATGACCCGCTATGGATAACTGCAACTCTATTTGCCACGAATGTGAGAAACCGTCGCTCCTCATTCTTCACATACTGCAGTACTATGGTGCTGTCTGTCCAAAATACTGAATCCTCTAATGACACATCTAACTCTCTACGAACCATCGCATCAAGTTTGATGGAGAGTGTGGCACCCATCAATTCCAACCTTGGTATAGTCATCTTTTTCAGGGGGGCTAGATGAGACTTGGCCAAAAGAAGGCAAGACCGCTTGTCGCCTTCCGAGTTTGTCATATGCAAATAAGTTGTCGCTCCGTAAGCTACTTCTGATGCATCCGAGAAATGGTGCAGTTGGTATTTGACTACCTCTCCAAAACCATAGGGCTTGATACTCCTATTCACCCTAAACTGTTCTATCTCGGGTAGTTCTTGTTTCTACTGTTGCCAACTGTTGAGGTGCTCTGATGGAAGTGACTCATCCCAGCCCAGCTTTCTTCGGCATAGATCCTGTATGATAACCTTGGCCCTCAGAGTGAACGGACTCACAAACCCATGTGGATCATAGATAGAACTGCAGACACTAAGTATTCCTCTTCTTGTCAATGGCTTGTCGCTGGGACTGATTTTATAGCCAAAACAGTCCAGTTCAACATCCCACTGCATTCCGAGAGCGCTCTCGGTCGGTAATGCCTCGTAGTTCAGATCGAGCTCCTTGACATCCTTCACTCTCTCTTCGATGGGGATGGACGCAAGAACTTGTGGGTTGCTGCTTACCCACTTTGTCAACCTAAAACCTCCTCTAGCAAGAAGACTACGGAGTTCCTGTGCCAGCTGAATTCCTTTCTCTTCACTGGCGACAGATTTCAAACAGTCATCTACATAAAAATTACGCATGACTGTGTCAACTGTGTCAGGTTGGAAGTCTGCTCGATTATCTTCAGCGGTACGTTGCAGAGCGAAGGTGCAACAGCTTGGACTCCATGTACCACCGAAGGGGTGTACAGTCATCCTATACACACTCGGCTGTCGAGAGCTGTCACCATCAGACCACCACAGATATCTCAAGACATCTCGCTCTTCATGAGTGACTTTGACCTGATGGAACATGGCTTGGACATCAGCCATAAGTGCCACTGTCTCTTGCCGAAACCTCAAGAGTACCCCCAACAGCTTGTTGGTCAAATCTGGTCCACTTAGCACCTCGTCGTTGAGTGATGTTCCAACATGCTTAGACGCACAGTCGAATACTATGCAAACCTTGTCAGGCTTCTTCGGATGGTACACCAGGTGATGTGGGAGATACCACACGGTGCTGTTTGAGGGATGAACTTCCTCTTCTGGAACACTTTCTCCATAACCGTTGTTGATGAGATCCTGCATGCCTTCAGTGTACTTAGCGTGCAGTAGTGTGTCTCTCTGTAGCCGCTTGCCCAACGAAAAAAGACGTCGTTCCGCAACAGTGCGATTATCAACCAAGTGCGGAGGATAATTCTTAAATGGGATAGCCAACTCGTAGTGCCCATCTGTGAGACGAACACTTTCTTCCCATATCGCAATAGCCTGCTTGTCCTTCACCGACATCCCCTTGGTGTCATCATGAATGGAATCAGTCGTGTCCAACTTCCAGAACATCTTAAGTTGTCTCTCTAAACTGTCGTCGGCGGCAATGAAGTTGGATGTGGCTGTGTGCTTGTTCGCCATTCCCAGTGGTCCATTCAGCGACCATCCGAGCTCTGTTCTTGTCGCATATGGGGCATTCCTCTCACCCTTCTTGACTTCTAATGGCATCAGTGCTTCTGGAACATCTTGCCCAATCAAAAGCTGTACTCGACCTTTGTCAACCTGTGGCAGCTTGAGACCTTGCAAGTGAGGCCATTTTTCAATGTCCTCTTGCTTGGCCAGGTTGGCATCATGGATAGGGAGCTCACGTCTTGTATACACCAACGGAAGTTCAACTGGTTGTTTGCAGTCGATACCGCTAACTGTCAAACTGATGACAGTTGTCGCTGTTTGCACGTTTGCCCCTGCCAACGTTGTGAGAGACAATTGCTGCTGTTGACCGCAGAGTTTCAGTCGCTTCGCCAACTCTTCTGTGCAGAAGGTGCTCGTGGACCCACTGTCCAAGAGCGCATATGTGTCGATGCAAACACCACTACCCTTGGCCTTGACCTTGACTGGAACAATGGGCAACGCAACTCCCATCACGCCGACCCCTGTGACATTACAGCTCGTGTCAACCTCTGTGTCGGTGAAACCACTTTGCACTGATGCCGCTGGTTCTGCTGGTGCCGTCGTGACCTCAGTTCTTGGGGTAAACTGACCTACGGGGATGGTTTTAATCCGGTGCAAGAATTTAGTATGCTTTTTTCCACACCCTGCAACAGAGCAAACTCGGTTTAAGGTACATGAATTTGACATATGCCCAGGTCTCAAACAGTTATAGCACAGTTTTGTTGCCCTAGCAAATTCAAATCTGTCTTCTGGTTTCTTACTCTTAAACTCTGTACACCCAAACAAGGTGTGACTACCGTTACACAATACACATGTCATGTTACCAGGTTTGGCATTTGTCATCATGGTGTAACTACCTTTGCTATAACGACTTACAGAGGACTTCGGAACATTCTTGTTTGTTACAACATATCTGTCCTTTGGCTTACTCAATGCACCATATACAGGATCGTTAGCTTCTTCAGCTGCGTCTTCTACAAATTCTACTAAATCCCCTATTTGGGGTGACCTGTCGTTTTTCTTTCTAATTACCCTAACCTGCTTGATCCATCGGTTACGGAGGTAACTTGGCAGTTTCTCAATCAAAGTAACCAACACTGTCTGAGTATTTACTTCCTGAATGTAACCCATGGCATTAAGGGTCTCCCTACAGGTTTTCAGATCATCTGCATACTCTCTTAGTGCTTTCTTGTCATGTGGGCTAATACTACTACCCTCAGTTAGCTTGTTCACCCAAGCTTCAGCAATCGTGTAATTGTTACCAAACCTTTCCTTAAGCAAGGCCTTAGCCCTCTTATACCCTTCAAGTGGCTGCATCACAGAACAACACTGTATCACTTTCTTTGCCTTACCAGTACAGTACTGTAACAACCGAATCAACTTAGCACTGTCCTCCAAATTGGAGTTGTCCACACTGTTCTCAAAGGATCTTATGAATGCCCAATACTGCAAGGGATCTCCATCGTATGTCAAAAGTTCTGCTTTCGGCAGCTGTATCACCTCAAGCAGCCGTTGTTGCTGCTTTTGACCCTGCTGCACCAGCTCAAGAACCGTTGTTTCACTGTTCTTGTGCGCGCTGTCAGGTTCTGCTGTCTTGACTGGATCCACTGTCTTGTCCGGTTCTGATGTCTTGTTTGGATCCACTGTCGTCTCAGCCTCTGGCTTCGTATCTGGTTCCTTCATTCCGTCGAACTCCAACTTCGTGGTTTGACATGCTGGAGATGTATCCACTACTTCAGGTGTACTCTGTGGGGGTGTCGCAATCTGCACTTCACTGTTGTTTGATGCGTGTACTGAGAAGGTATCGCAATGTTCATTGCTGTCGTTAAGTGCATACACAGCCTCCTCCGCTTCTGCCATAGCCAACTTTGTTTGCAGGGCCAAGTGTCTCTTTCTTTGATGAAGCTTTAACTCTTCGTCTTCAAGGGCTTGCAGCTGATGCAACATGGCCGCTTCTGCTTCTAAAGCAACCTTTCTGGCAGCTGCTTTCACTCTGGCACCGGTCACTGATGTTGATGTCCTGCTGACCTTTGACCTGCATTGACTCACAGAATCTTGTGGACGAATGAGGTCATCATGTCCACCGGTGTCTGATGTGGCCCCATGCTCCGATGCTGAACGGCTTTCACCGTGACGTGACGTTCCTGTCTCAGTAGTACTCATGACAATGTCCAAATCTTATAAAGCCCAGTCATTAAACTCATGTAAAGGATGGCACTTAAAAGTTCCAGTGAACTTGACTTAATGACGAATGACTAGTACACAATCATGTATCAGCAACAGTATACTCGCATCTTTAATCACGTAGACACGAAACATGAAGCATGAAGCACGTAACACGTAACACGGTTTAATCTACATAAACAAAACAAAGAATAACAAATACAAATCAGGATTGATACACAAAAACAATATTACAAATGTCCAGTTAGTGGTAAATTAGCTGTAGACATGTGCGAATCCCATGTAATGTTGTATATTAAAGTCTATATGCACACATTTTTACATGACACTTTTACACAAAGTTTCCCCAATAAATTAACCCAGAAATATTACTTTTATCCCACAAATATCTAGATGGCCATGTTCTATATATGTCTTACAATCATATAAAAGGATTTAGAAATTATTAAACTTACGACTTTGGGCTGTCCAAAACAACAAATTGCGTGACGAAAAGTGACGTTGACATGAAAAGTTTGACGTTATCTAAACGTTTTAACCCAACTGACTTGTTTTAGGGTGGTGTGCAATAGCGCCCTCTCTTGACGAAGAATACAGATACACAACAAGTTAACCTAATTAGCATATTACACAAACGAAACATTCTGACCCAACAGGTTTAACCAATAAAAGGGAAAAAGAGTCCGATTTTCATACGAGCCTGATTTTCATATGACACCGGCATTAAGGGTGCGGCACGTGCCCGGGTAGCCGCGTGGCCTTGACTAAAGGCTCCCCCATCTGCTACTGTTGAGCAGAAAATCAGATCGAACGTTTTCGAAGTTTCCATTCTATGCTTTCACGTAGCTGAAAAAAGTCGATTGTTTTTTAGGCAGCCGAAAAGTGGCCATCATCTGTTTATGATTGCTGCTTCTCTACTCCAGAACTTGAGGGACTGGGAACGAGTCTGCTTGATAAAACTTGAAGCGAGCGCCTATTTTTTTTTTTTTAAACGTGGCATGCAGCTGCATGCAGTTTACGTACACGTGCGTTCGTTTAGCTCACCCGGTTTGACACCGGGTCAGCACCCCTGCCGTTCGATTAGCTCTGACCAAAGATCCTATAGCGCCGTCTGACGTACCAGCCACAGACCCGGGTCAGCCACAGACCCTGCCCGTGGAGCAGAGTCTCACTGGTGGCAGTACGTCACGCATGTGTTCATTCCCTAGAAACGGACAATGGCGGCCGGACAGCAGAAATCTCAAGTGGACTTAAAAGTTGACTTCAAGTCTAAAGGTATTCTGGACGATCCTCCTATTTCTGCGCACTAGGCTTTGCAACCAGGTATAAAGGTAGCAAAGCAACCACTCTTTTCCGCCTCAACGAAACTTACATTGTTGGCTTACAATCATCCACCATACCGATTAACAAAGCGAAATCTCATTTGTGGCGACAACCAGGGAATTCCAAAGCATGCAGTTTTGGATGCTTCATCCAAAATCTGTGCTGTCTGGACCATGTAACTCGATATAAACATTTTTTTAAACAACTTAGAGCTTTTCAAACATATTTTCTTTCTTTTTCCTTTCTTTTTTTCCAATGCCAATACACGTTCATAATTTCAAGATTAAATGTCAATATCCTAATGGTTGAATAATTACAAAGGTCTTTATTTACATATTTACATAAATAATTTTTTAAATTAATATTCATCTATTAAAATAATGTAGATCCCAATAATATTGTTATTCTGATCATCCCAATCAACAGAGACAATTTTCAAGATGTCAGATTTTAAAAGTTTTGACCAAAAAATCCAAAATAATATAAGAAGTGTCTTTTTGGTTGCACTGTAAGTTTTATACACCCCTGTAAAACCTGTGCAAAGTCTTATCTATGACATCTTAACTATAATACTGACGACAGTGGTAGACCAATAAAAGTCACCGTACGGTCATATTTTCGACTTCAAGTTCTGCAGGCCCGGAAGCATCTGCATGCCTGCATTTGTAGTTAGCTGTCAAAAGCAGATTGTTTTCATATTTTGCCTGAATTCCAGAGAAAGCCATCAATTTCCACATTTTTTCGGCTGCTGGTTAAAGTTCGTGCATCAACGATACCAGTGAAAAGTATATATATTTTGTTAGGATGCATACCTTGCAAAATATAACTTAAAGGCGAGTGCGCAGAAATAGGAGCGCGCAGCTTTTAGGGGTCTGACGATAATCATTTTGACTTTTGAGGCTATAATTTCAGCCCAACGTTTTTGAGTTTTGCAAAAGCAGTAAATCTCAAAATAAGACCCAATCCGAAACGGGCGCTTTCTCAGTGGCTACGGCCACGGCTAAGGACGTCACGTGAGGATCGTAATGACCAGCGGTTGTTCGATTAGCGATAGCCAGCCCGGCTGTCGTGTGGCTGACCCGTCTGCCTTTACCCGTGTCGACCCGGGTGAGCTAAACGAACGCACCCAGAGCAGAGGGCGAGTGCGCGGCAAGCACAGCGAGCGACTACGGACGGACAGGTAGCCAGTCTAATCAGGACAATACTCGTTCTAAACTGAGAACCAAGAAATACTGAAATGTTCCATTATTTTAAAATTCAATCCATTTTTTTGTGTCAAATGTGTAAATATTTTGGAGTTACGTATTTTAATGTAACTATTTGACGTTGTTTTAGGTAATAATACACTCCATTTGATTTGTTTCTTTAAATTTGTCATACCGAAGTTGTAAACACATGCTTGGCAACGACCTTTGTGCACACGTGCACTCAAGCAGCTGTGTGGCCGGCCGTGGACGTACGTCCAATGCATAGTTCATTGTGTACGGTACCAGTTTTGTATACAATTTATACAGGAAGCTAGCGAGTTGGTCGTTCACTTCATTCAAGTATAATCTAGTGACACTGCCAGTTGTTGTTCACCCCATAGTTCTATCGAGGTAACCCAATTTGTAAATTGTAGGGATGGCTACAGTAGTCCTGACACTGACAGTAGCCTGGTAGTGGTAGCTGTTTGTCATTTTGAGAATAATTATTAATTAGGCCTATTTGGAAACATATGATTATTGAATGAGTGCTGATTCATTGCAATGGCTGAGTGCTGAAAACATGCAAAACGAAATCAGGCCAACTTTACCCACTCTCTTTGGCTGACGATATTCTCTAAAATTTCCAAGAGGCAAAGACAACGTCCTCAATATTTCACCAACCAAGCTTGAAGTCTAAATTCAATTATTTAAGGAGACTTTTGTTGAATATTTTGCAACTGAGAGTGAGAGTGAAGCCAAGTGTTAGGAAATACTTAGGCCTAAATATTCTTTTCCTTAATAGGCCTACTACTATAATTGTATTTCCCACTATCCAATTTAAATATTATTTATTTGTATTTTATTACGAACTTGTATTTAGGCCTTATACAAATTGACAACATGGAAATAAATATCTATCTATCTATCTATCTTAGTATCTATAAATATGCCTATCTAGTTTGTATTGCATGTTTTCAATATCTTAAGTTTTGGGATTCTCATAGTATAAAGTATTGAGCCTCATAAGTCCGATGCCTCATAGGTCCGACGCCTCATAAGTCCGAAATTTTGGACTTAAGAGGCGTCGGACTTATGAGGCATAACATTTATTTATTCTGCCTCATAGGTCCGACGCCTCATAAGTCCGATGCCTCATATGTCCGACGTCGGAAAAATGCAGAGTACGAGGCGTTGAATCTATGAGGCGATGGAGCTATGAGGTGTCGGAGCTATGAGGCGTCGGACTTATGAGGCGTCGGACCTATGAGGCGTCAGACTTATGGGCCTTTATTTGGTTGGGGGATGTGATTTTGTCGGACTTATAAGGCGTCGGACCTATGAGGCGTCGGACTTATGAGCCAACCCTTACCTGACTACCTAGCTCCACTAGTGTGGCTCAGGTATTGTTAGTGTTAGGTACAGCGCATCAAAAAGAAAAAAAAATTTATTACTTTTTTTTAGGCCTAAACAGTTCTCCACACGCGTGCAAATCATAGCAGCTACATGTAAAAATAAAATAAAAGTTCTTGTTTTTTGAATTCTTTTACGGCACCTTGGTTTTAAATGTTTTGTTTATTCAACGTTTGTGCGAACAAAACTTTCCATCTTCTTTTTGATTAGATGAAAAATTGCAGAATGCAGATTCGGTTACCATGTCCCACACATACTTGTGTGCACATTCATCTGCTGTTTTTATCTTGCAGAAAAAAACCCTAAACTCTTGTTGTGTGCACATGTAGTTGAAATAGCAAAAAGGCTTATTAGAAGAAAATAAACCTTTATATAAATACCTTTCACTCAGTTTTTTTCTGTGACAAATCCTTCTCATGCAGATAAAAAAAAAGTTGGAAACCTAAAGCCCATCTCTGAAGTACATCATGGACACAGAATATCTGAAGCGGAACTTGGGCATTTGCTTGACCAGCGCCTTGGCTGAAGTTGCTGAGAAACGGCCCATGGACCCAATTGAGTACATCGCACAGTGGCTCTACAAGTTCAAAGACAATGAACGCTATGCAGT